CAAGTTTAGTACTTCAAACAAGAATATTCAATAAAAATTCGGTTTGCTTACTACATAGAGTTTTCTTTTACATATTTCATAATACTCTTGAGAAAAGAATGAATTCTTTTATTGTGTATAAGATGAGCTTCTCTAAGACTTGTGACGAGTATATCTTAAAACTACTATTAAGAAAATATTCTTTGAAGAAAACTATTACTTAAATAAAATAAAACAGGTAATTGCTATTTTTGCCTGTAGCATGATATTTTTCTATGTGTAGCATTGACAAAATGAAGAGTTGGGTATGGCAGTATTGCTTGAAAGCTGCTGATGGTCAGTCAGCAACTTGTGAATTATGTGATACAGTACTTCGAACATATAATTCTACAAGTACTTTAATACAGCATTTAAAATTAGTGCATTCTTTAACGTCATCACAAAAAAATGCAAAACGACAGCGCGTTCAAGAAGAGCAGTGAGTATTGGTATTAATATTACTTTACGTTTTTATGTACACTATATATAATACATATATGTTTATCTCACTTATAGATTACAAAATAGTACAGATATAGATGATCCAATCGAAGGATCTTCTTTTTCTAACACAAGTGTCACCGATAGTGTTTCTTTGACTGATTCTGCTATTATACCGCAAAAACGTGCACGCACATCTATTAGCAAGTAACGAAGCGAGAAGATTACGCAGGCATTAGTTAAATTGATCGCATTTAACCACCTGCCCTTTAGTTTTTCTTCTAGTCCTGCTTTCAAAACATTTATTCAAGAAATCGAACCTGGATACAAGAGCCCGTGCAGTCAAACAGTACTTCGTCGTTTACGTGTCCTGGAAGATGTAATAAAATCAAAGATCCAGCGTATGTTAGATTTGTGCGAATTTATTGCTCTTGACACGGACTGTTGGACTTCTCGGTCTCAAGAAGGTTATATAAATGTGAATGCTCATATTTTAAATAACAAATGGGAGCCACAAATCTTCACATTAAGTATACAAGAACTTAGCGAAAGGCATACGGCGGAAAATTTAGCTGACAGCTTACAAAATGTTGTTGCTGAATGGCAAATTGATACCAAAATTGTATCTATTGTTCATGATAACGCAAGGAACATTATTGCAGCAGTAAATAGCATGGTGAACGTCGGAGTCAGCTCTAGTTGTGCAGCACACACGATAAATTTAGCCGTGAGGGATGCGTTGAAAGAAGAGTGTATTTCCACCATGCTTGTTAAAGGAAGCAAAATTGTTTCCCATTTTCATCATTCTGTCATTGCTTCACAAGCTCTTGCAAAAAAACAAGAACAATTAGGCCTGCCTCAGCATAAACTGATTCAATGTGTTCGTACTCGATGGAATTCAGATTTGCATATGGCTGAAAGACTTGTAGAGAATCGTGGCGCTATCACAGCTGTTCTTGGAGATCGAACCGTAACAACTCACTCGCAAGCAAAAAGTTTAGAAATAAATGAGGATGAATGGACTATGTTCGAAAATTTAATACCAGTTCTCAAGCCACTTGAACTTTCAAGTGCTATATTATCCGGAGCTCCAGTATCAATGGTACGGCCAATAATTCGAACTGTGATTGACAATCACCTTTCTTGTGAAAATGAAGGCGTATCAAAAACATTGGCAGAAGCATTATCCACTCGTTTTCAAATGGAGTCACAGGGAGATATATCAATATATCAAAAGGCTTCATTTCTGGATCCTCGTCACAAAGATCTTCAAGCTGAATCAATCTTGCAGCGGGCTGCGATTAGAGAACTGATTGAATCGGAAGCAACATCTCTTATTCCAAAAGAATCTGAATCGAATGTGCAAACTTTTGCTAACAGTGCACTAGACTTTCTTTTTAAAAAGCCTGAAACGCATGTCTCTTCGGCAGCTCAACAGATCCAATTATATCTTTGTGAGCCACAAATTGATATTAATATAGATCCATTTCAATGGTGGAAATCACGCGAAAAAAAATTTCCACAATTGGCTCAGTTGGCAAAAAAATACTTATGTATTCCCGCGACATCCGTTGCATCGGAAAGAATTTTTTCGACGGCAGGCAATATCGTTTCGCCACGACGAAGCTGCCTCGCTTCTGAAAATGTTTCGACAAATGTTTTTATTTTTCAAAATAAGTTTTTATTAGAACAATAATGCCCAGTAATAATCTTTCTTAGCGATGTAGGGGGCTTCTAAATTGAATTTTTAACTTTTGACCGAAGAGATATTCTTAACATTTTTATAAGATTTATTTTAATAAGGTATATTTTTCTTTTTATTTTATTTATTTTATGTATTTTTTCTTGTTTACCTTCTCTTGTTCTTCTTTATTGTAAACATACAGTTTGTTTATATTTTAATTCTTATTAGAAGAAATAGTTTTTATTTTATTTTAATTATTGTAATCTGCATTTTGTATTTAACATTGCATTTGTATTGACTAAGCATTTTGTATTTAAGTATTACA